GTCAAACGAAAGATTGTTAAGTTAAGAGGGTTGCCACCTGTTAAAAATTTTATTTCAGTTCAATGTATTAAATAAGCTATGTGAATTTTTATGGGTGTAAATCGTGTAACTTACATCTTGGAGGGTTGCCACCTGCTTGAAGAATTAACTTCAGCTTATATAAAGGAAATTAGGTAATTAAAATATGAATGAAAATATTGGTGTCAGCCGAAAGTGGTTTAAGAAGGTTTTAGTTTAAAAATATTTCGATGTGTGTTAAAAAAAGAAAAATGTGAAAATATGAAATTTATTTTTGGTTGAGTTTAAGTATTTTGAGTTTAATTGAAATAAATATAATTTAATAGAAATAAGAGCTCTCCACTCAAGTTCAACTGTGTGGCTTAAATTTAATAAATTTTTATAAAATCAATTACACAATGAGGTGTATATCGAGGCCGCTTCATCAGTGTGAGTACTTCCGCTTTCTTTGCTAAATAAATTTTGAATGGGTATTAGCTGCTGGAGTGACACTATCGAAAACAAACGCACATAAAAATCAATTAGTTTTCTTGTATCAGTATGCAAAGTCACGCCAACCAACAGAAAAAAAAGCATTCACACAAGCATTAACATCAATATGGAATGAAATCTTCATATGGCAAGAGGGAAGTTTCGGAATGACAAAAGCAGGAAAAAGTATTTGTTGGGGACTAACGAAAAAATACACACTTACATGTAAACGCTGTGTAGCTGTTACAACTGCTGTTGCTGTTGCTATTGCTGCACGCCCGAGATAAAATGTTGTGACGAGCGATGATATCTTCTGCTATTGAATAGCTGGCTGGCGTTGTTGATAGATGAATGATGGGTAGGAAATAGCTGAGTGCGAAGTGAATGACTCGATGGTTGAATGCGTGAGTGATGTCCGTTGGCAGTTGACGTAAGGAAATATATATGTAATAAAAAAAGCCGGTTGAGTTAGTATTTAGCAGGCTCCTTACGGACTTTTTTTTTACGTATTTCGCTTATAAAATATGTCTTGTATTCATCGGGATTCCCGCCAACTAGTTATGAAAGCGCTCAAAAACCATAAGATAGCTGTGAATTCGAGCAAAAGAGTAACACACCCGCACACATGCAAGAATACACTGGAGCAGGTATACACAAATACACAACTATAATTGTGTATACACATTCATACGTAGAGCGCAAGAGGATAACTCCCTTTTTCGGAGTAATTAGGAGCGTAAGTGTAGCAGATTTTAGGGCGTTGGAGCGCACTTTTTTTCGGAGTATCACTTTTTTTTTAGATTTATTTTGATGCTTTCAGCGAAGATGATGTCTTACAGCATTTACAATAAACTTTTTATTTTTTTATAAATTATTTCAGAATTTTTTATTATTTTGGCACCGATTTTATGCACCACTATATTGCATTGTAAGAGCTAGATATCTGTTTAATTGCCACGACACGCCCACTTAAAAGTCAAAGCTTGCTCACTGCTATTCACTAGCACACATACATATACAATGCTTTTAAGCAAAAAAATGTATACGTAACAAACAGCATCAATAACCACAAAGTGAGTGAGTACACCGGAAACGGACGCGCCTCCAAGTAACCCCAACCAAACGCAACGGCTCGGCTGCTCTAGTGAACTGTTAGTGTTGTGTCCGTCCCTTCACTTGCTTGCTTGCTTGCTTTACGAAGTTTTGCGCGCGCCTGCTGTCGTTGCTACTCCCACTGCTCGCTGGCTTGTTTGCTGCGTTGCTTTCGGAAGCTGCGTATGTATATCTACTACAACAAAACAGGCAACAGACAAACTGCAAAGTGCACCAACTATACTGCACGGACCTATCCCAAGCGTATCTTTAGTGCAGCATTTGCTCTCTACTTTTGCCGCAAATGCACTGTAGCCGACTCCTGCTCAGCGTAATTAACTTTTCACTTCACTGGCAGCGTCAAATTAAGCGCAACGCTGACGCCGTTTTACTTAAAACTTTGTTTTTTTGATTTTCAAATTTCACGCACTTTGCAAAATAAACGGAATATCAACTGATCGCTAGCAGACACAATATGCGTGTGAGTGAGCGTACGTGTGTTGGAATGCTAAGGAATTTTAATTTAATTCCGTAAAATTTGAAATCCGACCAGCGATGTAGCACACACGCACCAACAAGCAAAGATGCGAATAGACACTTTTATATCGTCGCCAACGTTCGCTCTGGAATTTTTCCGCCACTTCGAAGCGTACACCCCACTTGTTTTCCTTCGACTGAAGCGTCCATTCGTGCATTTCTTCATTCGTATGCTCGCTCGTGCACTGGTTGTGCTTTAAGTCCATGGCTGACATGAACAGCAAAAACCAAGATAACAGCGCCAGTTTATGTTGATTTTCCAACTCCTGCACAGCGGAAGTTAGGTGTTCATAATGCCACCATGTTAGTTGACCTATTCGTTAAAAAAATGTTTTATTTTTTTTTTTT